GAACACACACCCCCCCCCCCCCCCAGAGAGAGAGAGAGAGAGAGAGAGAGAGAGAGAGAGAGAGAGAGAACTGCAATTGCCAATTGCATGAAGACAACATGCTCTTGCAATAATTGTCGCAGCCACAGCTAATGCGAGTTGAATGCCCACCTGGTACATGGTGGGGTTCCTAAGTGCTTCATCTGCATTGTTTACTTAATGCTCATCCCCCTCCTGGGCAGGGGTTACTGTTTGTACCCCCTGCTGAAGTGAGAACGTTGAAATAACTTACTTAGATTCATACAGTTAGTGATAGAGCCAGACCAGACCTGTGAATGGCCACTATGCTGTAAGCGCAACAGTTCCTAGGTCAAAGATTTACTTCTGAGTAAAATAACTGGCCACTTATTCTACCCCGCATCCTGTCTCAGAGCGCTCGCTCACCAGCTATTGTGGTTTGAATATGAAATGTTCCTCACTAGACTTGCAGGTTTGAACACTTGATGATGCTGTTTGGAGAGGTTGTGGGATCTCTAGGAGGTGGGGCCTAACTGCAGGAAGTAAGTCACTAGGGGCAGGGGGTGGGGTTTATAACCCAGCCCAGCTTCCTGTCCTGTCTCTGCTGATCCATCCATACGTGAGCAAGCAGCCTCCAGCTTCCGCAGCCACAGCTTAGCAGCTCCCATTATGAGTTTCCCTGCCAGGATGGACCAGCTTCTGTCATTTACCAAAATAAACTCCTCCTCCCTTAAGATGCCACCTGTCAGGTATTTCCTCACAGCAATGAGAAAAGTAGTGAATGCACATAATAGCTTAGGGGAATCAGTGTAGGTGTTTTAAATCGTGCGGATTAAAATGTACAGAGTAGGGCCTTCCAAGTGCGTGTTCTTAACTGTGAAATGTGTAGCAAACTCTGAAAAGAAGTGGCACTAACTCTAGGTGTGGCTGTGCACGTCTATAATCTTCTCACTCCAGAGGCTAAGTCAGGAGGATCATGCATTTGAGGTCAACCAGGGTCTCGAAAAGGAGAGCAAGAAGTGTAGCTAATGCACTTTTATAAAACAGGGAAGCCAAAGACCTCATGACGCACACTCACACACTGCTGGTCGGGATGTAAGTTAGTGCAGCCATGGTGGAAGTCCACATGTGAGTTTCTTAAAAGACTAAACTGAGAACGATCTTATAATGAAGCTGTACCCCTCCTGGTCTGAACTCACAGGGGTCGCAGCAGCAACAACGAACCTTTGGAC